AGTCAACAAACTAAAAGTAGGTAAGTGCTCTGCATTAACCTATTATTATTAATTTTTGGTACTGGGACTCGAACTCAGGACTTTGTACTTGCCAGGTAGGCACTGATGCCATTAAGTTATGTCCTCAGTCCATTTTATTTTATTTGGTCTTTTCTGAGGCAGGGTTTCATTATATGGTTCAGGCTCCCCTTGAACTCACTTTGTAGCCCAGGCTGGCCTCAAACTCACAGCAATCCTCCTACCTCTGTCTCTTGAGTGCTGCGATTATAAGCGTTTGCCACTACACCTAGTTTAGCCCTTTTTATTTTGAGACAAGATCTAAATTGCCCAGGTGGCCTCAAACTTCATTCTCCTGTCTCCTGAGTAATTGGGATTATGAGTGTGCACTGCCACACCTGGCCATAGCTTGTGTTTTTAGTGTCTTGGTGTCTATGCTGGTAAAAGACATTCCTAAACAATCTCTACACTTAAGGCTTTCATATGGCAAAGCTGATTGCTTATTTCTGACAAACAGTGCCATTCCCCCATCTTCTAACTAAAACTACAGTTTTTAAAACCCTAAGTTTATGTGCATGTGTGAGGTAACATTTGCTCATGGAATTGGAATTGCCGTCATGGGGGTTCTCAAACAAGATCTATACTAGGACCAAGGAAGACTGCTGTTTTCCCCACACACAACTCCTGAGAGAAGTTACAGGTATTATGACACAAACAATTCAGTATTCAGTTTTAATTCTCTGTCTCTTTAGAAAGCAAAGCAAAGCAAATGTACAGCAACCTAACAGGGACCATAGAGCTGAACATGCCCCTGTGAGGGGTTTCTGTGAGCCAGGCTGACCCTGGCTTCAGGGACTGTAGAGACGCACCGCCCCATCCCATAGCTAGAAGACACCATGGGATTCAGAATCTCAAGAGGCTTTAACCTGTGCCTGGACTGCAGCTACTCCTGTCCTTCTTGGTCTGTCACTGGCTGGCCCACTCCAGGGAGTGACCCTTTTCCTTGAACTGTGTGGACTTTTCTTCTGCTGGAAGGGCAGCATGGCCATCCATATGTATTCTCATAAAAGAAGAAGGTCTTTGCATATTACTGCATGCTGGTCTAACAATGGCGCAACCACTTTAAATACCCTCCATATGTCTGTGGGCCTTATAGAGTTCAGTTCTGCCAGAGGGCTTACATGGCCAAGCACCAGCTTCTCCACACAGGGAACAAACCCAATTTTATCCAGATTGTGGCTGCTGCTTCCAGTGAAATGGGGCATTGGCATTCATGTGCACTTATGGGGAAGTGCCGTGCACTTGTGAGGAAGAAGCCACACATGTGCATGAAGTATGGGCACCACTTTTAAACTCTTCCCTCTTGGTCATTCATTAATGAAACTGCATTGGAAAGAAGCTTCACTTTTGTTCAGACTGTGCTTAGGGTGTTGGTTACCAGGGTTTTGTTGGTGTACATTAGAGCTCTCTAAGAGCTCTTAGAGACCACAGGATGAAGAAAATAAAAAGAAACAGAAAGCTAGGGTCAAGTGAAGCCCTTCCTCCAGATGGGAGGAAGAGATTGCTCAACTACCACAATGCATTTAGACACCTGTCATACCCACACCCTTTGTTTAACTAGCTTACTTATTACTCCCTGCCCTGGTGTTTTCTCTGGGCTGGAATACCCAGTTCACCTCCAGCACCCTGTGCCTTCAGGGAGTTTCTCAGGCGCTTGCTAGGTGTTCTTGAGGCCCTCCTGTTCAGGCACTTGTGCTTTCAGCTCCATATGTGTGAATGATCACTACTCAGCAGCTCCCAACAGGCTTTTGCACAACAGCCAATAATGAGCCCACTCTAATGAGCACTCTTACTCTCCTGTCTACTTTGTCCAGAAAAATAAATTACCCCAGCACTAGCTAGTCCACAAAGGCAAAAAGCCCTTGGAACATTCTGATTATGATCTCTGCTTCCAGCTAAGCAGCCTTTTGGCCATTTACTGGTACATACACATAAGGTATTGCTTTATCTCTTCCAGAGCCCTCACAGCCACAGGTACATTAGCTCTGGTGAGAAGTCCTTCCTTTGTTTACAGTGGTGGGAGAACTCTTACATGGAAGGGTTCCCTGGAAGCCCAGCAATGGATCTCTCAAACAGGTGAGGTGAGTCAGAACAGTTCTATATTTCTGTTGCAACCCTCAAGCCAGGCTTTTGTCCCTGAGGTCCAGAAAACCTGAGTATACATCTACCATTTCCCAGACGCGTTTAAGTTGTGCCAATGTCTTGAGCTAAGTTAGTGTGAGGGAACCAAAATTTTCACACCTTTCCCTAGTGAAGTATTGGGAAGGAGGTACAGAAAAGGAAAGGATAGGAGAGGACAGAAGAAGATCAATCAAAAACAAGGTGGTGGGGATTCAGCTACATCTGGTATCTATGAGACCTGAGACAGGGACTAGAACTAAGGAGCAAGAGGGATGTCCAGGTGGAGAATCTGCTAGGGAAAGCATGGGTCTCCAATGCTCTTCCAGCACCAACTGCTAGACTCTCAACTTTCAGCTCAGTTTCTTCCTGAATTTAGATCTGAGGTAACAAGTCACAGACATGGCTTAGACAAGGAGCCATAATGTGAATAGAGTATAGGCTTTGAGTATACCCTGTTCAATATTTGCTCATTTGTTGTATTTAAGAAGACACCAAGCCCAGAGTAGTCACTTCTGGGAAGGCTCCAGGGCAACAAATTGAAACCTAAATTGTTTGTTTGTTTATTTATTTATTTATTTAGCGAATGTCATACTGTATCACCCTGGCTGGCACCTGGCTTGAGATCTTCCTGCTTATGCCTCTCCAGTAGCTGGGGTTACAGGCATGTATCACTACATCTAGCCACTTATGTTCTTTATTTCAGGAAGATGTGATAGAGGACAGTTCAAGAAAAACCTGAGTATTTCCCAGGGGATGAACAATAGGGCAATGGTTGGAACTCAGTCCTGGAAAGCTCTGCGGGGTGGTGTAGAACATGCTTTAGAGTTGTCCCCACTGAGAGGTCACCAGCTGAATACTGTCCAATAAGTCCATTGACAGTTGGTGTGGACGGCTGCTCCTATAAGCATTAACACATGGACCAAGCATGGTGGATAACCTGGCAGGTAAAATCCCAGGTAGAGAACTGTAAGTATTTGCAGACAGAAGTCTTCAGAAGGCAAATTTAGAGGAAACTGGATGGGACACCAAGAGCAAATGTATAGAGTCATAATGGAGACACAGCTATTTTGCCTCTCCTATTTGAAGTACCTAGCACTATGCTTTGAACACTGAACAAATGTTATATAAAAATAATGCAAGGATTTAAGACAATTATACAGCTAGTTTCTCTTAGTTCACCAAAGAGAAAGTTTTGTGTTAGTATTGTCTGGACATTCTTTTATGCCTATATCTTGTACTCTGAGTAACTACTATGGAGATAACAAAGCACAATGTATTAAATTATTGTTACAGGGGCTGGGGATTTAGCTCAGCGGCATAAGTGCCTGCCTTGCAAGCAGGCAGTCGTGAGTTCGATTCCTGGTACCAGTAAAAACGAAAAAGACAAAAAAAAAAATTTATTGTTACTCTCCTATTAGCCTGATTTGAAACTGTTTTATTTCAATTTTCTTTTTTGTTTTTGTCTTTTTCCTTTTTATCGGTACCAGGGATGGAACTCACGACTGCCTGCTTGCAAGGCAGGCACTTATGCCGCTGAGCTAAATCCCCAGCCCCTCAATTTTCTTTTTTTAAATAAAATTTTAAAAATGCATAGAAATTGTACAGAAGATTGAACCTGAGAATAAGAATTTAAGTGGTTTCTTGAGTGAGCCAGCAAATTAGCATAGTATAAGCAGACTGTGTTAATGCTGGCTGTGATAGGATAGGTTTGTAATCCTAGCACTTGGGAGGCTGAGGCAGGAGAATTGCTGTGCGTTCAAAGCCAGCTTGGGTTACTTATTGAGACTGTCTCAAACAACCAAAATCCAAACCAAACCAAACCAAAAACTCCTCTGCAACCCCCCCCCCAAAACCCAGTGCCTAGTATAGTGGTATAAATAAAGGCTCTCTCTCCTTGTCATCCCCAAGTTTAAATCTTTGCTCCTTCTCTTTACTAATAATTTGATCCAGTAAACTCATGGAACTCAAGATCATTTCTATAAACAAGAACAGCTATCAGCTCGCAGATGGTAGTAAAGAATGAATAGGATGCAATATGCAATAAGTTGGGCTTAGAGTCTGCCCCCACTTCACTCCATTCCCAAAAGGGGAAAAACAAAAAGCAAAACAGCTAGGGTTTAGCTCAGCGGCACAAGTGTCTGCCTGGCAAGCTCAAGGTCATGAGTTTGATCCCGGGTACAAAAAAAAAAAAAGCAAAACAACAAAGCCATGGGAAGATCTGGTTGCACACCTCTGTATCACAATTACTGGGAACAAGAAGATCGCAAGTTGGGAGGCCAGACAGAGGTACTTGGTGAGGCCCCATTCCAATGGGAAAAAAAGGCGGAGGGGCGGAGGGGCGGAGGGGCTGGGGGGGGGGACGGGCGGGGGCGGGCCGGCGGCGGCGGCTCAGTGAAGTATTTGGCTAGCATGTGCAAAGTTTAGGGTCCAATACTCAGTACTGTAGTGGGGACAGCATGAAGAGAACAATAGCAACATCGAAATTAACTCTTTAAAGCAAAGGCTTTTCGGAAGTTACAACAAAACAAAACCCCAAGGTAATCTCTGCCTTGGATTAGCCACAGCTGTGGCTCAAATCCTTTCTTCCTTCAGAGAGGCTGAGACAGTGCTCCTTCAGAGAACAGTACAAATCAACCAGAGGCTAATCACAGATCTTTGCAACCCACTTTGGAAATCACCTTGGTCACCCGATAGTGACGGTCCAGCTTCCTGCCCTTAAGCGTCCATTTACTTCTTTCAAATAGGCCGCCTTCGTCAATAGCCAATCAGAATGCTCGATATTTGGCCACCGCCCAATGAGCAAGAATAGGGTGGTGGTGGGGGAAGAGGGCGTGAAGCCCAATCGTAGCGCCATTACACTTTAGGGCAAAGAGGTTAGGAAGCCGGCATGGCGCTCTGGTCAATAAAATCGATAGCTGGAAACTGCCTGTGTTTCAGGCAAAGACTGTGCGGTAGCAGCGCCGCCATTTTCCCCAAAGGCATCTTCCAGTGCCTTGCAACCAAGTTTGGGAAAGAGTTTTATGAATAACAGAGCAAGGTTTCTGTTAGCCCCAAAGGCGGCGGGCTCCCAGCCACACTCGACCCTCCGCAGTCTCGGGGTCCAATGGCGCCGCCTTCGGTCCCACTCCCCGCTCGGGGACCAGGCCAGACCGGACCCAGCCAGAGAAAGGGAAGGAGGCCGAGGGCCTTGAAGTTCGCAGACGTGGCCGTGTACTTCTCTCTGGAGGAGTGGGGGTGTCTGCGGCCCGCGCAGAGGACCCTGTACCGGAACGTGATGCGCGAAACCTACGGCCACTTAGGCGCGCTAGGTGAGGTCCTGCCCAATCTGCTTCCGCGGGGCGCGGGGCCGGAGGGATTAAAGAGCTTGTGGCCGGGTGGGGGAGGGCAGGGTGTCCAGGTCCTGGCCTGGGAACAGGTTACATTCGGGGAGGAGGGTAAGGGCCCAGCGAAAGAAGCCGTACCTAGGGCTATCCAAGGACTGGCCCTCTGACTGGTTCTCCTTCCCCAGGATGCGCAGGTCCCAAGCCAGCTCTCATCTCCTGGTTGGAACGAAATACTGATGATTGGGAACCGGCTGCCCTAGATCCGCAGGAGTACCCAAGAGGGGTAACAGTCCAGAGAAGTGAGTGAAAATGATCATGGAGAGCCTGCAGCCCTCCTATGACCTCCTGACCTCTAACTGCTCAGTCCAGAGTTTTGGTCTGGCCTTGGTCTGACCATGACCTTTTGGCTGTGCTTCTACACTGTGTTCATTTTCACAACCTTAGGGGCTTGTTCCTGATGGTATGAGGTCGTTTGCCACACAGAAGTTCCCAAGTCGATGTGCAAACTGGCCACCTGCAAGTACTCCACCATGTAAATAAATCCCTGAGCTTTAGAAAGAGCCACTCTCCTGGCTGCTCCCCCAGATCCCTGCTCCAGCCTCCTTCAAATTGGGCCGTTGCTGAGAGAATCTAAATTTCTAGTTTCTGGGTTTTGGTTGAAATGGCTTACTGCTGGGGTGCAGGGGCCTCACTCTGCTCTTTTGACAGGATGACCCTAATCACTGAAGAACATACAGCATTATCCTCAGGCTCAACCATGGCTTTGGTTAGGGTCTTTAAGGGAAAAAGACCTCAGATCCATCTCCATGGCAGGTGGAATTGTCTGGACTGGAGTTTCTGTCATATTCTGTAAAGCCAGGAATATCTCTTAAGAGTCAAATTTGATCCTATTTCCTTGCTTAAAAACTTTGAAGCCAGCCATGGTGGCTCACCCTTGTCATCACATCTACTTGGGAATAAAAAGTCTGGGGATATAACATGCTAGGGTTGATCTTAAGTGCTGCAAAATCAAAAAATCTTGTTAGTTTCTGCCATGGTTGCCAAATGGCAGTTATATGTACGTCATTTGGAGAACTTGGTAAAAGTGCAGATACTGGGATCCCATCCCAGAACTTGTGACTCATTGATTCACTCTTGTGGATGTATAAGAACTTATGTATCCTTTTTAATAGTTCCATTTGCTTTGAATGCACATCTGGGTTTGGGAACCACTGGATAAAATGTGGCCCACGCCAGGTGTGATGTATGGCTGTAATTCCAGCCTAGGCAGGAGGATCAGTACAAGTTGGAGGCCAGTCTAGGCTAAATAGTGAGACCCTGGCTCAAAACAAAAAACAACCAAAAATATAGCCCAACGTCCTTAAAAAATGTTTACAGAGTGGTTCTAAATGTGTGGTCCCAGACCACTCACAGCATGACTTGGGAATAGAAATATAAATTATAGTGCTGGGTGTGGTGGAAATACCTGTAAGCCTACTACTTGAGAAGTTGAGGTAGGAGATTGCCTCAAGTTTCAAACCAGCCTGGGCTACACAGTGAGTTCAAAGTCTGCCTGAATGACAGAGCAAGACCATGTCTCAAAAAACAAGAAAGAAAGAAAAAGACTTGCTGAACCCAAAACTGGTGGTAGGCCCAGAAATGTTTCAATAAGTCCTCCAAATAATTCTGATTATAATAAAGTTTGAGAACCATTGGCTTAGTCTCATACCTCATTTGTTTTCACTTCTGCCTTAATTTTTATTTAAGACCTTCCAGCCCATGCAGTCTTGGGACATTTCAAGCTGTCCCCTGTGCCTCATCTGCCATCTCAGGCTTTCTCATACCCCATTACATTAATTTTATCTTTAAGAATCAAGCCAGGCTTGGTGATGTATGCCTGTAATCCCAGCACTTGGGAAGCTGAGGCAGGAGGATTGCTGTGAGTTCGAGGCCAGCCTGGTCTACAAAATGAGTTGAAGACCAGCCTATACAGTATAGTGAGACCCTGTCTCAAAAAAGAAAAAAAAAAATGTGGCTAAATTGCTGGATACAGTGGCACACACCTGAAATACAACTATTTGGGGCCAAGGATTTAGCTCAGTGGCTCAAGCACTTGCCTGGAGAGTGTAAGGTCATGAGTTCCATCACCAGTACCAAAAAAAAAAAAAGAAATTATAAGTACAACTATTTGGGAGGTTCAAACAGAGGATCAGAAATTCCAGGTTACTTTGGTCAATTTAATGAGGCCCTGTTTGATAATAATAATAATAATAATATAACGGTTAGGGATATAGTTAAATGCTCTCTGAGCTCAGTCTGTAGTAGATAAATAAATAGATAAATAAATAAATAAATAAAATGAATAAATAGTCATGTCTATAATCCTAGCACACTGGAAGGCTGAGACAAATTCAAGCCCAGCCTGAGCAATTTAGTGACTTAGCAAGACCCTGTCTCAAAAAAAACCAAACTAAGACAAAACAAAACAAAACAGAAGAAAGAAGGGATATAGTTTAGTGTAAAAAAAGCTCTAAGTGCAATCAGGGATGTGTGTGTGTGTGTATGCTCATGTATATGCATGGGTAAAGCAACATACCCAGCCTTTTTTTAACTGAATTTTTTGATAGAGGGTCTTGATAAATTGCCATAGTGAGACTCGAATTTGCAATCCTCTTGCCTCAACCTCCGTCAGTACTGGGATTACAGCCATGTACCACTGCACCCAGGTTTTTCTTTGTTTTTATTACTGGAGATTTAATTTTGGGCCTCACATATACTAGGCAAGTGTTCTACACTGAGTTATTTATTATAAGACAGGGTCTTGCTAAATCACCCAGGTTAGCTTTAAATTTGCAGTCCTCTTGCCCCTCAGCCTCCCAAGTAGCTGAAAATACAGACCTGTGCCATTGCACCTGACCAGTTCAGTTTTGAAACTCAGCTTAATCTCCAAGAAATCTTTCCTGACTTCTCCAAGCCTGTTAAAGGGCTCCTATAATATTCTCCATATTTCCATAATATGTCATACTCAGCCATCATGCATTAACAGATGAGGTCAGCTGAGTCTAGCCTTGTAAGCTGTAACACAAGAGGCCTCCTAGTCTTGTAAGAGGCAAGTAATTGTTAAATTACTTTTTCTCTGTGTCCCTGTAGAAACCAGAACCAGAAAGAAAAATGGAGAGAAGGAAGTCTACCCACCTAAGGAGCCACCCCGAAAGGGGAAGCGTGGGCGGAGACCCAGCAAACCCCGGCTGATCCCAAGGCAGACATCTAGTGGCCCCATCTGCCCTGACTGTGGCTGTACCTTTCCTGATCATCCAGCCCTGGAGAGCCACAAATGTGCCCAGAATCTGAAAAAGCCTTACCCTTGTCCAGACTGTGGGCGTCGATTTTCCTACCCATCCTTGCTAGTCAGTCATCGGCGGGCACATTCTGGTGAGTGCCCCTATGTTTGTGACCAGTGTGGCAAACGCTTCTCCCAGCGCAAGAACCTTTCTCAGCATCAGGTGATCCACACAGGGGAAAAGCCCTACCACTGCCCGGACTGTGGTCGCTGTTTCCGTAGGAGCCGGTCCTTGGCCAACCACCGGACCACACACACAGGCGAGAAGCCCCACCAATGCCCTAGCTGCGGGCGCCGCTTTGCCTACCCCTCCCTGCTGGCCATCCACCAGCGCACACACACTGGAGAGAAGCCCTACACCTGCCTGGAGTGCAGCCGCCGCTTCCGCCAGCGCACTGCCTTGGTCATCCACCAACGCATCCACACAGGTGAGAAGCCCTACCCCTGTCCAGACTGTGAGCGGCGCTTCTCCTCATCCTCCCGCCTGGTCAGCCACCGGCGTGTGCACTCCGGGGAGCGTCCCTATGCCTGTGAGCACTGCGAAGCCCGCTTCTCCCAGCGCAGCACGCTGCTCCAGCACCAGCTCCTGCACACTGGAGAGAAGCCCTACCCTTGCCCTGACTGTGGCCGTGCCTTCCGGCGGAGTGGTTCCCTCGCCATCCATCGTAGCACACATACTGAAGAGAAGCTACATGCTTGTGAGGACTGTGGCCGCCGCTTTGCCTACCCTTCGCTGCTGGCCAGCCACCGTCGTGTGCACTCAGGCGAGAGGCCCTATGCCTGTGACCTTTGCTCGAAGCGCTTTGCCCAGTGGAGCCACTTGGCTCAGCACCAGCTCCTGCACACTGGGGAGAAGCCGTTTCCCTGCCTGGAGTGTGGCAGATGCTTCCGCCAGAGGTGGTCTCTGGCAGTCCACAAGTGTAGCACCAAGGGCCAAAACTGTAACCCTAGATCTACTCCAGGGGGGGCCAACCACAGAGGCAGTACCCCTTAGAATGGGAAGAATTTTAAGTTCCTTTCTTTTCATATAAGAGTCTAGAAAAGGGAAGGAGGCACCCTGGGTAATATAGCATAGAGTCTGAACTAAAACCCAGGTCTCCTGCTCCACACACCTGTCTTTAGTCTATTCCACCACTCTGGCTGCCTTACTGTACATGTCTAGAGTAGTCCCATTAGGAGTGGTGACATCATTTGGTTAAAGTTTTCCAAACTACCCTATCCTAAAATACGTGTGTCGATATCAGAGCTAAAAGTTCTCTCCATCTGTTTTAGGAAGTATGTACTTTTCTAGTTTGTGCATAGAGGGTTTCTTGTCTCCTTGCATGCAATCAGGAAAATCCCATTGTAGGGGCAGGACCTTTTCCTCTGGCTCTTCCTCCATACCAACATTAAAAAAACCTAGGTTAGTCCACTTTTTACAACATTCCTGCCACGTGATCTATTGCTTGAAAATATCCCTTGACATGGAGGTCATATTCACAATGCAGGTCATATGACTTGTGGGATAGTGCTGCTCTTTAACAGGTTAAGTACCACATTCTCATTCTCTGTACACCTGGCCTCAAATTATGTTTCATACTTCATCTGTGTGGCAGCCTTTCAAATAACTTATTCACAGCTACTCAGCCCTCAAGTTTCCTAGATAAGCAGCATTAATTTTGTCTTTTCCTTTTGAGACCGCACACAAAGTGGTCTTGAACCAAAACTCTCCTTTCTCAGCCTCCCAAATACCTGGGACTAGGCTCTAGTCAATCATCTTTTTAAAGATAAGATTTCATTTCCCACACTTGAGCTATCTCCAAGCAGGCACTGTTTTTTTTTAGTGTCCCTTTTAGAGGCCCATACAAAATAAAACAGCACTTACAGCATACACTTTACCCCTTCTTTTCCTGTACTTAACAGCTCTGGATTACATTGGGGTGGGGGGTAGCTGACATGTGAAAATGCTAAGTCTTCACATGGTATTTGGAAAAGTAGTTCAAGGTAGGTGTGAGACATAAACAGTAAATTTTGGGAGAAATGGGTCTTAAGGAAAGGCAGGGGACTTACAGTCTAGCAAGAAGACGTAAAAATGGGACTGGCTTATTGTACTTCATTTGGTGGACTTGAAATGATTCTAGATGTTTAGTGGCTGGAGAATCCTTGAAAGCTGGGTCATATTCCTCCCTGTTCTTATTAAAATATAGCAGAATTAGCACAGAAACTTCTATGAGGCCTCAGCCAATTTTTTCATGAACTAAAATGAGGCATTCAGATTGGCCAGAGAGATAGGTAATTGAATATAAAGAAGAGTCTCAGCAAATTATCCATGCTTTCGTTTCGTCAAAGCGCCAAAGAGGCCACCATAGCAGTATGTCTTAATCATATCATGCCACCCGAGGAGATAGGTACTCAGTAAAGCATTACTGAACTAAAAGTGAACAAGGCCTACCACTTTGCCTTGGGCAGCAGCACCAAATTAGAATTTCCAAACATGATGTATCTCATTCCATCAGCTGCAGTGTGTCACCCTACACTGGTTACTGCCTCTTATAGCTCTCCTGTTCTTAGCCCCAAAGTGAGGAAGTAGCTAGGGAACACAAGATTTTGTAATGACATCACTTTAGGTATTTAGCAAGTTCCATTGTAACTTTGTCTGTTTCTCCTTAGATGATGAGCTACTCCTTGGACAGAGGGCATACTGGAGTGAGCCTCATTAAATGTCTGATGAATTATGCTTCTTGTGGAATTACTGTTTACCAAATGTAAAACTAATTCCATGACTTGGAAGAATTCACTGTTACATTGGAGACCCAGCCCCTCACACCAAGAGACTACCTTTCATATCAGAGACTTACTAGGATGTCTGCTGAGTATCCTGTATTTCTTCTACCCATTATCACCAGGCCAGCCTTGTAATCCTCATGTCAGAATTTTATGACTTTCTCTAGGTCTGGATTGCAATCCATAAAACTTAGAAGCCATTAAGTCCCATCATGTGGTCTAAGGAGAACAGAGATGAGCTGTAACTTCCTAGGCTCTCTAAGGCAGTTCAGTCCCCACATACTTTGTAGCAGTGACCTGCATTCAGACAGATCTCACAGTCTTTCCAATAAATTCCTCTTGAGGCCAGGGACATAGTTCAGTGGCACAGTACCTGCCTGGCAAGCGCAAGGTCATGAGTTTGTTTCCAGGTACCAAAAAAAAAAAAAAAAAAAAAAAAACCCAAAAACTTCCTGCTTACCATGGTTTGAATTGTTCTCACAAACAGAATACTTAACTAATGCACAGCAGGATAATTAACTAATTTCCCATCTGCCTTCCTGTAGTGCTATTGGGGAGGCTCAGGCAAGATCTCAAGTTCAAGCCCAGCCTGAGCAACTAGTGGCTCAGCAAGACTCTGTCTTGAAATTTAAAAAAAAAAAAGGCTAAAGATGTAATTCAATGCAAAGACCCAATTTCAATCCCCAGTATCAAAATAATTATAATTTAAAAAGAGAACTATCCCTGCAAGCTGTCTTTATCTTATTTTCAGTTAAATCTATCTATCTTTCTTTTTTCTTTTTCTTTTTTTTGGTACTGGGGATCAAACTTAAGACCTCTTGCTTGCCAGGCAGGCACTCAGCTGCTGAGCTAAACCCCTGGCCTGGCCTGCTTCCTCTCCTCTCCTCTCTTCTCTTCCCTCTCCTCCCTTCCCGCTCCTTTCTTCTTCCCTTTCCTCTTTTCTTTCCTTCTTTCTTTTCCTTCCTTCCTTCCTTCCTTTCTTCCTCTTTCTTAGGTTCTTTGAGACAGGATCTTACTATTTGTTCAGGCCAGCCAGCCTTGAACTATGTGCCCCAAGGTGGCCTCAAACTTATGGTAATCCTGCCTCAGTCTCCCAAGTTGTAGGATTATAGGTCTGTGCCACCATGCCCAGAAGCTCAGTTAAATTTCTTGAATCAGTAGTTTACAATCTCTATTCTCTGTATCTACTTCTGGTTATTCTTCCTACTGCAATATCGTTAACAGCCACTTGATTGACACTTTATGGTGTATCTTGTACTGTTATTAAGCACTTTCATACATTCCAACTTAATGTTTTAAGAATCTATGAAAGGGTTAGAAGATACACCTTCATGAGTCTCACATTTCCATACATTCCACTAAGAATGAAAAACAAGCAAACAAAAAACCCCACAAGGTTAGGCCCTCAACCAACTTTCACACTTGAGCCATAAACCAATTCACAGACCTAGAGCCCTTTGAATAAAGCGAAGGCTGGGCCCTCATGATGAAATATGCTACACTGGTGACAATATGCTGCACATTTTGCTACCCTTTTCCAAAGGCAACTGCACATTAAAGAAGCAGGGTAGCGGAAAGTGGGAAATATAACTAGAGTTTTCACAGATTTCAGGGGATCTAAACTAACTCTGTCTCTTACAGTTCCAAAATGTCACTGTAGTTAACCAGGTATCGTGTACTAGAGATCAGATGTGTGCAGTAAAGTTATCTCAGCAGGTGTAGGTTCTTCAAACCCTGCATGTCCCAAAGAAAGTTTATTTTGATGACTGGCACTTGGCCCTTCGTGGGCCTTTGGAATATTTTATCTAATTTGTTGCAGGTCTTGGTTTATGCTTTACCAATCTGACCACAATATGATTTTTTTTTGGTCTTTTTTGTTTTTATCGGTACCAAGGATTGAACTCAGGACTGCCTGCTTACAAGGCAGGCGCTTATGCCGCTGAGCTAAATCCCCGGCCCTACAATATGATTTAAAGTGAACACCATTTTTCCTCTGGAGTGCTAGGGTCTAAGCTAAAGTCAGTCATGTGGGCACACTAAACAGCTCTGACTGGCCTCCAGTAAAGTTCAGGTGAATTTCCCTTGTTGGAAACAATTTTCATGTGTTACCACAAATCATTGCTGGGAAAATTAAACATGAAAGCATGTCTCAAAGTTTATGACTAGTTTTTCCTGAACTTTGTTAATGTAACTTTTCCCTTTGATGATTTTATTTATCTATTTTTTATTGTGGTACTGGGGATTGAATCCAGGGCCTCATGCCTGTTAGATGAGAGCTCTACCACTGAGCTACATCCCGAGCCCTTTTTAAGACAACAGTCTTACTAAGTTGCCCAAGATGACCTTGAATTTGTATCTGCCTGCCTCAGCCACCCAAATACCTGAAGTTAAAAGTATATGCCACAGTGCCTGATATTAAATTCAATTTAATTAGATACAGGAGTATTTGGACTCCAGATTGCTGTGAATTAAAGGCCAGTCTGGGCTACATGGGAGACCCTGTTTCAAAAAACATAAACATCTAGTGTTTGTTTTGCTGTGGTAGTGCATGACTATAATCTTAGCACTCAAGAGGCAGAGGCAAGAGGATGCCTGCAAGTTTGAAGCCAGCTTGGGTGACATAGTGAGTTCGAGGTCAGCCTGTACTACAAAGTCAGATGCTGTCCCAAAACAAACCCCCCCCAACCCCATAAAACAATACACAAAACATAAAAGAAAAATTTATCATTTTTAACCATTTTTAAGTGTCCAACTCAATGTCATTAAGTACATTTATAATTTATGCAATGTGTTCCATTATTTCCAGAAGTTTTCATCATCTCAAACATAAGTTCTATGTCATTAAATAATGCTTTATAACCATCTTACCCCCATCCTTGGTAACCTCTTACTACCTGTAGAAATTTTGCCATTCTAGACATTTCATACAAAGTAGAATCATACATTTCTTTTCTATCTGACTTATTTCACTTAACATAATGTTTTCAAGGTTCATCCATGTAGCATCATAGCAGAATAATATGTTTACATATGTCTAACACTTCTTTAATCATTCATTACCTAGTGGGAAATTATACCTATTGTGATTAATGCTGCTATGAACACTGATATACAAGTATCTGAATCACTGCTTCCACCATTTTGGGCGTTGTATTCATCAGTTTCCCAGAGAGACAGAATCAGTTAACATGGAGAGACAGATAAAGGGGATGTGTTTGGTGAATTGACTTGCAGGATAATGTAAGCTGAGAAGTCCTACCACAGGTCTTCTCAAACTAAGACACGAGAACATGGGAAACCACTGATCTAAGTCGTAGAATCTGAAGGCTGGAAAGCTTGCGGTTCTTTCTAATGCCCAAGGGCAAAAGAGGAAGAAAACATCCCAGCTCCTAAAGAGAACAAGTTTGCCTTTCCTCTGCTTGTCTTTGTTATCTTTTGCACCTGCAAGTGATTGGATGGTGCCCACTGGCATGAGGGTAGAGCTTCCTCACTTAGGCTACTCAGATTCATATACCAGTCTTCTCTGGAAAGCCGCCTCACACACATGGTTAAAAAATAATGTTTAGCAGTTCTCTAGGTATTACTTAATTAACCATTAAAAGTCCCTCCAGTGCCTGCCAATTTGGGATCCATGCATCTTCCTTAAGCCGTATTTAAAGAAATAAACAGGTAGTAGTTCCACCAAAGATGATGCAACTCTTCTGCATACAACCAAAATTGTCCTATCCCTCAGAGGAAGATGTGATAATCTTAGGTGGTGTTTTCTTCTGATATCCTAGATTTTAAAATATATGATGGAAAATTAACAATACTTCAATACTGGTATATTGAATGTCTTTTTCTTTTCTTTTTTTCTTTTTGGTATTAAGGATTGAACTCAGCACTCACCTCAGGTGCTTACACCACTGAGGTAAATCCCCAGCCCTGGTTTTTTTTTTTTGTTTTTTTTTTGTCTTTTTCGTTTTTATCAGTACCAGGGACCGAACTCACGACCTCACACTTGCAAGGAAGGCGCTTAGGCCACTGAGCTAAATCTCCAGCCCCCCTGGTTTTGTTTTTTGAGATAGGGCCTTGCTATATAGCTCAGGATGGCCTTGAACTCACTATAAAGTCCAGGCTGGCCTTGAATTCATGGTGATCCTCTTGCCTCAGCTTCCTGAGTGCTAGGATTAGAGGCATGTGCCACCAAACCCGGCCAAAACCTTTAAATCTATGAGCAGCTGAAAATGGTGACAAATGCCTGTAATCTCAGCACTTGGGGCTGAGGCAAGAGGATCACAGGAGGTTCACTGTGCGGTCGAGGCAAACCTAGATTACACAGCAAGACCCTGTCATAAATAAATAAACAAACTGATTTTTAACAAAGGTGCCAAGGCTATTCGAAGAGAGACCAGTAGTGCTGAATAGCCATATATATAAGAAAGAAGTGGACTATCTTCAACAACATACAAAAATCAAGTAAAAATGGACAACTATACCTAAATGTAGATGTTCAAAACTATAAAACTACTAGAAGAAAACAGAGGCATAAATCTTTTCGATGTTGGTTGGGTGATGGTTTTTTGGTATGACACCAAAATGTGACAAATCATAGATAAATTGGGTTATGAAAATTAACTTTTGTGCAAAAGACATCAGCACAGAGGGAAATGCTAATCCATAGAATGGGAGACAAAATTTTCAAATTATATGTGTGAAAAGAAATTTGTATTCTTTTAGAAAAGGATACTTTAAAAAAATACTCCTGAGTGTATGGCTCAGTAGCAGAGCCTATACTTAGGCATGTATGATCCCTTAAGTTCACAGCACCAAAACAAAAACAAAACAAAAAACTTTCACACTGATATCAAAGACAAAGCCACTACAAGAAAACTAAAGATTCATAACCATTATGAATGTGATATAAAAATCCTGAAGAGTCAGTCACCCATGCTTGTGTTCCTGGCCCTTGAA